AGACCGTGTTAAAATGCAAATTATTTATCATGGAAACCACTAATTGTATACTAATTACACATGTAATGAGATACATACGACCTTAACAGTGTTGGGATCAAATGTACACTGTATGGTATTCGGTATGCTTGATAATTCCATTCGGGCAAATTATATCATTTAAACATTTTTCGTCCTTTTTGTTTTAATATTCTTTCCCATTATCGTCGACTTTGGTGAATATTCCACTCACACACAAAACACTGCTGAGGAAGCGGCTAATACTTGTAATACGGAGATAATTACACGTCAAATGGCACCATTGTCACTCTCGTATTCAGTGTCAAGAGAAACGCTAACGTGAAAAAATTCAACACCAAGATAAGTTACTAACCATCCGTAGTACACATATACGCCGATAACATCCACAAAAATGTCTGTTTTTATCATTCCTCTCAAATTGGACCGAGAGATGACATCACTTACGGTAGGAAATTTATAAAGCATAGATCTGATGTTCATATCCACTGTATGTCAAAAAACAAAAACAAAAAAAACCGAGGCTATCATTGGGGAGACCTAGAAGGACATTAAAGTTGTATAATCACTCTACTTTATCATTTGACTCCGTCTCATCCTAGAATTTTAATATTTTCAACATCAGATGTTCAGGAAGAAAAATATTATACCTTATGTAACATAATGTACTGTGTACTTTTACGGATGATTCTCCTGAAATCAATTACTAAATTGGTCTATCTATGATATAGGTACACTGTGTGTGACTTTAACGTAATTGTAGACAGTGCTGGCGACAGCAAACAGTTTGCACTGTAGGTTGTGTACTCTAAATATGGTGTCATTTCAACTAAACAAACGATATTGAATAATCCAAAGGATTGTACAAAAGATATTAAAGGAATCACGCTGTTCAATGGAAAAGTAGAATTAGGTACAGTAGAGGCAATAGTGAATTATTCTACATTATACAGCTGTTTCGTCCTTCTGGGACTCGTCATCATGTGATGTTGGGGCTGTAACTTGTAAAGAAACACGCCGATTACATATTAATTTAACATAAGTAAACAGTGAAATAAAGATTTTCGAGTTTGATTATTTTTTGATAATGTCTAAAATGTATATCCTGGCAATGATAACAATATTGTTTATGTAAATGCGTCGTAATATCACTGACATGCGATAACTCTTTAAAATCACGTGACAGTTTACCGTGACGAAATACATACCTGTAAAACAGACACCGTGGATTAGCACGGGGCTGGTTATAAAATACTGTAATCAGATAGTGATGGTGTGCCTTACATCCCGGTGTCTCCACGATTTCTACTGATCTAGACTCAAACTAGGACAAAGTTGATTCGAAATGTACAAAAGATATGTAGGTATATTAGTTCTAATTCACAAGAGGGTCCAACCAAGTAATATGACAGGATGAATAGTAGATGTATTTCTATACTATTATATTTACTGAACAATATGTTCACGGATATCTATATTTAGTATGTTTGTTTTGTGGTATTGATGAACTACAGTATCTCCGTCGTTTTATCTCCCTCTCGATTTAAGAACGATCGAATGAAAATTAATGTTAATGAAACATAGTTTGAATTATCCTTAGGAACGGTGTTTGCAATAAAATTGACAATTTTGTTTGACATTTCACAATTGTTATTGACGAAATTCTCCAAAGCACGACTATACGTTTTAAGAATTTGTTCTCAAATATTGTTCACATACTGCGATTTTCACAAACGTCAAAAACCCCTTTATCGTTACAAGTTTCATGTTCAAATAAATCTTTGTTTTATGGTCACGTGTGACCAGTCGGCATTTACTGGTATGAGAATGAGAACCCTGTGTGCGCCTAATGAACAAACCTTGCATATAATTATATTTATTTTGCTTATGTCAATAACTTTTTTCTTTACGATGAATGTAAATCACATCTAAAATGTTAACGGCTTCATAAGAGAACACTATTTATCCTGTTACAAAATACGTAAAATTTGATTGTGAGTGCAGATACGGTTTCAAATTAATTAATTGATAAATTCACAATAAAAAAATGTTGTAATGTTATTTCACGATAAAAATGTTATATCGGTTTTTTTATTTTGTTTATTCATTCATCCTTCCCCATCTCTCTATCCCCTGATTACAGGTACGGTGAGATCATTATAACATTTAAAGTTGTCCGTCACTTACACCTGTATGTTTTATTTTCGTAATCATCTGTGCATAACATTTAATGTAGATCAATTTTAATACCAAACACAAAGACGTTTTTAAATAGGATGATTTATTTATCAACAATATTATATTTGCTAACATTATGTGGATAACAGGCGATAAGATATAGATAGGAAATGAAACCAATCACGTGAGTTTCTGTCGGCAGGAGGATGTCAGAATAAAACTTACAAAATATACATAGAACTCTGTAACAGAGATAGATCTTATACCCCACCAATGAATCACCTGACAATGAAAAATTAATGTCGAAGCCTTACACTTTCAAAGAAGAAGTTCATTAGAAGGAAATTAAATCCCATTCTTTACAGACAGAACAACTCATCTTTAATGTTCTGAAGGGTCGGCCGAACCCATTAAGCTACAACTTGGTGAATACAGGCAGTGATTGAGACCGGCTTCTTACAGTAAGTGTTACCGATATCAAACATCCATCATGCTTGGGTTTAAACATTATTGTGACTTCACAAACGGTGAGATGATGGTGAGTTTGTTTTAATGACTTTTGTTACATTTTCTACGTTACAGGTTACTTTTGACTTTTCTACGACTTCTAATAGTTCCCAGTGTATGGTCCCCACAGGTCTGTTTACGTAAATACAAAATTAATCCCCCACCATCTTTGAAATTAACACGGGTAGCGACGTTCGGAAATCGTATGTGGCACGCGTTCGGTATCTCCTATCCCCGCTAATACCATTGAAGAAGTACAAGTTCGACACTTAAATCTTGACTTAATTACCACTTAACGAGTGGGATTTATGCATCTTGCGATATGACACAAAAACGCGTCTAGAATCCATATCAGCAGAATCTATCAAAATGTCGTTAAAATTGACTTGACCCATGGTCAAGTAATGTCAATTGATATGAACTGGACTAATGGTCACGGACAACAATGGTCAGTTTAAAATCACTATGAGGTGACAACAGTTCAATTCCTCACCAGTAGTGTGTCGGATTCGTATTACATATTTACAGTATTGTTATAACCCCCCATATGACAAAGGCGATTAAAACACTAGAACTCCGCGTGCTGCTTACAGGGCTTTTTGTACGCGTGGTAATAGATGATATCTAGTATCCATTTTATACATTTCTGTGTCCCGATTTTAAAAAAATGTACAAAAATAAACAATGATTCCCAAATCGAAGCCAGTATTTTTTCTGATCCTGGTAAACGATTTCCGACTGATGCCTTCGCTAAACTTTATTCGTGATTTTCACATATTTTTGGTGTCACGTCGGGATGTTTACTTGTGTTTGGAATGTATATTGTTGTATTGTAAAATAAAGTAAACTAGATATCATGATTAAATTGTTCTAAAAATGACGTCCGGAAAGGGGAAATTGCATATTCTATATAGGGTTTAAGAGTGATATCTAAGTATGTCGGTACATGGTACCTTACAATCTGATTTCTTTAATATTTACATGTATAAAAATGTTCATATTGATATATTCATTGTTTCATTTAAACAATTAACTCTATGTGAAGAATTTCAATATACCAATGTCCAATAAAGCAAAGTGAAATTCTAAACACTTCATTCGTATTTTTCAACAAAATTGCTGTACTTTTTTTCTACAAAACGTCAAGATGTAACTTTTCCACGCCTCTTTAACTGGCCGTGATTAAAGCGACACCGTCATCTGTAAATAATCAGTTTTCAAACATCTTCAGCTAGCTGAGTTTAATGTAGATTTGTTGTCGCGTGGCACATTCTGTTGACAGGTAATTGATGGTAGCTGTTCAGATTCACTAGTTCATGCAATCTTATTCTGTATATTTAAATCATATCATCTTGTCCTCGGGGTTGCCTCTACAGCTATTAACTCTGTCTACTTGACACCTCCAAGTGCTCCTTAAACTAGCTCATGGCATACCAGTGGGTTTTTTTATCTAACGGTTCCCTTCGTAGTTTATTTCTGTTTTCGAAATAACAATGGATGAATACAATTGATTTCCGATAATACCAAGTACATGAGGCGATATTTTAGTAGGTAATTGAAGACACGCTGGATCCATTTATAACTTGATGACAAGCTCATATTATTGAATTAATCACTTAAAGTTTATCATACAATTTGTCATAAAAATAAAACGGCTGGTTTTTATTGCACGTTTCTTTATTCAGAACATGTTTCATGAATGACTTAACTTGTCAAACGAAACAAATTGTTTGGTCGATGGCAAGTACTTGTCCAGCCTCGTCAATCTTACCGTATTTTCTTTAACGTCCTAAATTGTCCCAGCATTTTCTTTAAAAAATATCATAGACACGTGCCAAGCACGTGGCACGCTGCCCGTGGAAGTCCAGCCGTAAAAATACACAACAAAACTGGTAGTGACAAGTCTTGTTTGTACTCGTGACCAAAGAAACGAAAATCAACCGTATATAAAATAGTCATCAGCACTAAACATCATGAATACTGATTAACAAGCTATCGAGATTATGTCTAGCGTAAAATGAATATTTAACAAGTATTAGAGAAGTATTTTGCGTATGAAAAGAGTTGTATAGAGTCGAGCCGCCGATTGATCGAGGCGGGTACAAACGCTGGATCATTGACCACGTGAGAACAAAAGCGTGCTCAGACTGGGGTATAAATGTCTTCAAGCCAATGAAGGCTTCCTTACTTTGGAGACCTTAACTCGGAAGTACGGTACCCGTTTACATCAGTTACATGCTTCGTCGAGTACTTAAATGGGTATGTGATAAATTGATGGGACTGATTACAGAGTGAAAATGTCTCGGTCGTTCTACGTTGATTCTCTTATTGTGAAGAAGCCAGCGGTAACTTCACCTCTTTCTGTAAGTGAATCGATTGTGACGTCACATGCCTCGAACTTACATATGTCCAGTGGACTCCACGCAGTCCACCACCGTCATACTTCACATCATCAATTGCATCACCAAGCTGACCACGCCTTAACGTGTTACCCTCGCCACCCCGCGGACATTCTCAGCTACTGTTGTCCTCTCTGTGTCCACACCCCTACGTCCCTGATAGCCGAGGGAAGTGCTACCCCTCATTCTAAACATGACATTGTAACCAGTCCAAGTGGACACACCCTACACCCAGGAGGCTACAGTCTCTCCAGATATCACCACCAGCCTTTCCAGGTGAAACAGCAGCAGCCGTCCTCTCCTCTGAGGAGTCCTGTTCAACCACAGACGGAAACTCTTAAAAGAAATAGATTATCAAGTATAGGTAAGAATTTCTTATATTATTATATCTTCAGTTGCTTAATCTTGAAGATTTCTTACTAATTGTATGTCTTATAATAGGTGATAATTTGTTTCATTTTTATCTCTATCTGAATAAAAACTTTAAATCTTCTTGAAATTAAGTATTTCAAGAAATCAAGTCAAATTACATAATGATGTTTTCAACATTAAAAGTTGATATTAATTAAATTGATAAATTTTATATTCTATTAATCTATTATCATGAAATTACGCTGAGACAGAGAATAAATGTGGTTAATCAGATTTTTTTTTTAAATGTATTAAAATATGTTTGATTGATCCCACCTAATTAATTCAAAGTTTAAATTGATTAATCATCAGTTTGAAGTTTTTATTTGATAAAAATGTTAATTCTTTTAATGATAAAATGTTTCATTCATTATAAGAATTCCGTGCTATAGATGTAACTGGTACAAGATATTTAAGTAAGCTTCCAAACTTTCATTATAATAATAATATATTGGTATTATACTTGTGCTGCATGCAGTTAATTTGTATTCTCAGCAGGAATTTTCTGTTCATGAATCCAGAAAACTTTTTCAAAACAGAAACAATTATATAGTAATAACTTTATAACGTAAATTTGCAAAGTGAAATATTGTCAAAATACAAATTCTTTATTTGTTAAACAACGTTTCTTGATGAGTTTCTAAAAATAAAATTTGAATATTTAAATTGATAATTGGGAGCGTATTTCATATTTTTAGCACGCATAATAAGACAATGAAAGAAATATCATTATTTCTGAAACAAAAAAAAATGAATTTCTGTTTTAAAAAGTATATTACAATTTACAGATTAACTACCTTAAGCTCAGATCAGTCATGTGTGAAATTATATACCATTATTTATATCTGTATAGATTTGTATAATTACATAATTTCAATAACTTATAAAAATAAGGAACCACATGACGAGTCACTGAAATAGATAATATATATGTACTATCACATCATCACACGTCTGGTCACTACTGACATGTCGTAATGTGTTTTGAATAATCCTGAAAGCTATTTGTGTTAAAATAACCACGATAAATAGCTGCATGCTGAATATATCTGTTAAAGATTTTAAAAGCATTACCGTCGAGAAAATCATTCAAAAAATTTAGTTAAACCGCATTCATATATATTAAACAAAGTAAGTGAATGGATTATCATGACTATTTGTTTTCTTCTTTCGTATACGATTTGTGGCTCATTATTCTAAACCTTTGTCTTTTACAGGCGTAACGAGCTCCACGGAGGACCTCAACAGTAGCAGTAAAAGGATCCGGACAGCTTTCACCAGTACACAACTTCTAGAACTGGAAAGAGAGTTCTCCTCAAGCATGTACTTGTCCCGACTCCGTCGTATCGAGATCGCCACATACCTCAATCTATCAGAGAAACAGGTGAAAATTTGGTTTCAAAACCGCCGTGTAAAATACAAAAAAGAGGGCGTACCAGATGCACGCGAATCCTGCCGATGTTTGCGCACATGTACACAAAGAAACGATAGGCGGCGAACTTCCGACAAATACGATTGTACCGAGGATTCGGAATTTATCGACAGTCCGGAAGATTGTAAGAAATTAGACACGCCATTGATAACAGACCAAAGTGATGGAGACTATGAGATTGAATGACATTCCGCTAGACAGTGTGCTCAAGGGGAGTGCCTAACGACAAAAAGTGCAATTCCTTTCTACGTGCAATATTATCTCCGTGAACTCTTTTTAAAAGTGCCTTGATTGACATTAAATTGACTTTTATTATATTTATTTATTGACTTATTTTGAATGAAATGTTTGATGTACATTTATTTTGATAGAGCTTTTTAAATTGAACAAAATACAATCTATCAAATAGATCCATTGCTTTATTTCTTTATGTGAAAGATGAACGGTTGAACAAATATCCTGAATGATAAAGTAATTCTGGGACGTGGATGAGACGGTGCACTGTCTGGGGCTACAGAGGAAAATATTCATGCATAGATGCATTGACAACATATGTATGTATCATTTATACAAATTGTAAAAAAAAAAAAAAAAGAATCCGACAAACTACAATTTTGGTAATAAATATGACACTGAACTAAAATTGATCAGGACTGCACGACATAATTCATTTATCCAATATACCGAAAACAATACACATAGCTTATAATTAAACGGCTCTGTACTCCAAAATAATGTTAAAATATACACTATTCAATCTTACGACATCTTTATAATGTAAAATCTAAAAACGAAGTCGAAAATAATGAAATTGACGTCATTGTAAGCAATCGTAAGATAATGGTATTAGTATATATATGATGTGCATGTATGTATTGTAAGGTTAAAGGTTGTTTGTTTCAGAATTGTCCATGATTAAAGCTTAAATTTGACAAAAACATTGAAGAATAGGTGTATCTGTAATTCCCTACGACTGAAAAGATTGCACAAAAGACACTCAAAGTGAATAGCACCTTTTATCACAAATTTAAAAAAGATACAGTGGAGCCAAACAAAGAAATAAACTACATCATACAGCTGTGTTGTCCTTCTAGGACTCGTCACTGGTGATGAAGTTTAAAAAATACAAAGTAAATACCATCAAAATAACAAAAATTTCTTTCTGATTCAGATTCGTTGAAATTATGACTAAATATGGAATAAAAATTTGCACGGAGACCGGTGACAACGTACAGACTGATTATATCAAAAAGCACACATATAACATTTAGTTGTATAGAACATACACACAAAATAAAACAACATGGAATATGAAATTGGGACAAATAACAACAGAAAGGAGAAAAGAAACGAAAATTTATGAGTCGGAAATTAACCTTATTAAAAAGCAGTGCTTCAGAATTTATTATGTTAAGTCCGTTGTTTGAAATTAACACATATCTGACAAATAATGAAGGCAGGAAACTGAAAATCCCCAAGGAGCATTTAATGTAGAGCTGGCGAACGGATTCTGGTTGGCTGTTCTGCAGAGTAATTATTCGTTTGAAGAAAAGAAAATTAGTAAGCGTTTAGAATGATCCAGGGGATGATTCACGAGGATTTCTGATTTATATTAGCATTACAAATTAATATTCTCCGAAAACAAATTGATTCTGTTGCATATTCATGAGATGAGGGTGGCTGATCAAAATCACATGACTAAATGATCCAATCACGTTATTTGAAATTGACGATACAATTAAGATAACTTTATTGCAGCTAATCAATGGGCTTCCATGCAGTCTGGTTTTCTGTGTTTGGGGAAGGTTTAACCATCCGTGTTGAGATTTTCAACCTATAACACTACAACAGTCAACATGAATCCTTCGGGCATTAATATACAATATCGTTATATTAATGGCATTATATTATAAATCCATATTAAAAATATTAATTCACTTAAAAATAATAAGTGTATCAACATAATGTACACGGAATTTAACATAATTGATATAAAAATGTACACATTCCATTTTAAGAACGTTCATCATACCGGCATATGGAAATCTTGTAAAAATTAAGAAGGGGTACACTACATTTGTAATCGGCTCTGCTAGCTGTTCAGATGCTGGTATTGAATAGACACATACACAACATATATGTGTGGGCTACTGACGTATTACAACTGGGTTCTATTGCTTCATATACACGTGATGTTCCAAAGAAGACGTTACGTGTAGACAGCGGCGTGTCTATGTCTATGGAGTAAGTTAGGTATATGAAGAAAGTATACACATGTCAACAGAGTTCAAACAAAAAATCGATGGAACGAGCGCGACAATATGAGCAGAGAAACATTCATACGGAGACAAAGGACAAGAAGGATAAGACCAGATGTTCAGAAATGGTAAGCGTTTTCTTGTTTCATCGACGTCATCTGCTACGTTTGTGACCATTGATATTAATGATACAATATCGTTTTCAAAAGCAATTAATGCTTTCATAGATTTTTAGGAGAACATTCACTGATTGAAAATAACCTTTACATAGTATCTGGCTCAGATACTGCATGAAACCATTTGGAAGCGAAACCACTTGTGATGCTTCAGTGTCCTGCACCTGCGATGCCTGTCATGAAATTAATGTATGTAGGTCGCCACAGATATATGAATGAAGCCTACCGAGCTAAGCAGTTTTTGAGACAATATCCATTTCACACACATCATTGTCATTTACTATGAAGCCTGGATGGCTGATATCTAATGCCATCACACAGCAACGTAGTAACATCAGGAATATATACATGGTCTGTGGTGTAATTGTAAATTAATTTTGATTTCGTGTTTACAAAATCCATTTCAACTTGATAAATAAAGTGTCAAATATTAAGATGGGAAATCATGGCTTTAAGGCAAAAGGATAAATATGATAAGTTAAAACCTTGTTAGGAGAGGATATCAAAACGTTTTGAGGTTCAGACGGAAAAAAATGAAGATATCTAGATCTATACTCAAAAACAAACATTGAAAGTTAAACGAAACGTTTCAACTTTGATTTAGAATTTGTACCAATAATGTAAATAAATTAAATAGATTGGATGATAAATAAAACAATTGGAATTTTTCTTATCACCATTTAAATAATTGTAAAGTCAGTTAAAGCCAAGCACTGTTAAGTCTGACCCTCACTTTCCGGCCTCAAATTAACATATTGTTCAATGGTAGGATAGCTAGTGCAATATCTGAACAGAAAAATGGAAGTTTTTTTCATCAAACAGATATCAGAAACATCGAATAAGAGACTGGATGACCAAGATACAGTTCTGAAGATAGATTTCATCATACACGACTTCAAACAGATTTAATGATCATCCAAAATTTTGAACCTTTCCCTATGGCCCTAACGCAGAAACGAAGGGAATTCAGAAATTCATGTTAAGGCCATGGATAGTGTTTGTTGTTGATAATATCATTGTCTGAAGAGATTAACAATTTTACCTTACGAGACATCCGGACCTGATAGAGTTACACAAATGTATAACTAGGGTATAGGCATTACGCCATGCGATAAATGACACATGTGAACAGTAAACTTATAACAAAATGGGATATATCATCGTCTACCATGAATGAAACCAATTTAGATATATCTTAAATGTACTTTGGTCATTAGTCAACCTAATACGAATTCATGAGCAGACGACACAATAGCACACGTGGCGGCAAATAGACGATATTTATGTCGAAACCTCTTTTTCAATTCATACATCATTCTCTCAAATGAAACGATACCTGTCACACAGTAACTGTCGTAATTTTAGGAATAGGATTCGGTGAATTTAACCTTCCGTCAGGACAACAATATGACCCAAAATTTCGACAAAGCCCCAATCAGCTTGACTGACACCGCTTCGCTATACCATTACATCGGCTCATACATCAAACTCTCCGATACAGTCAGCTCTGTACAACAAATACCTATTGTTGTTTTCACCTTAACGTCTGTTAGGAATTCCGAGAAGACTAACTATCGCCTTTATACCTTGTTCTTCTGTATTGTTTAAGATCGAAAGATACTTTCATTCGAAGATCTTAACGAATAAATCCATGAAATATTACACCTATTTTAACTGAACATTTGAATGCAAGAAATGAAAAGTAACCACAACACCACGACATTTGGCGCATAATCAGACAGTTTTTTTGCGACCCCAGGATATGTGATTCGATTAAACAGTTGTCATTATCTCGTGCGCGTCTCGAGACATCCATACGATTATCAGGGCCAAGTCGACCCTTCGTGGACTCTTTCAGAAACGGAGAATGAAACATGACATGCCACGAACCGACTCATAAGGCGGTCAGCGTGATCGATTGACTTCAAGTAATTAGCGTTAATCTCATATGATTATTACAACATGGTTTAGAGCTGTAGTATTACCAAGTAAAGTAAGTGACTATGTCTCGCGACGTGCGCAAGGTAATGACGAATTCTTTTTTTTTTTTTTTTAATTCATGATTTTCCCCCTTTTTTTGGATCTAATTGAAAACTAAGAAAAATATACAGTATAGATGAAAATCTATATTTGTTATCATGAATTCTTTTCTGAAAATTCATTGTGTATCGAGAGCTGTGTGACTTGCGATATTGCTGCGAGGCTTTGGTCACCTGTCAATCATTAATTAAGGTCAAACAGGCTGAGAGGTCATGTGGTGGCCTGCCCTTTGATGTAATTCGTCTGGAAAATCTAGAAACTTTGAATAAATTGATACAAAACATCTATAGCTCATGACAATTACAACGCGATTTGTCAATAAACATGGGTCACTGAGGCCCCCCGATATCAATGCATTAGATTCTCAATTCTCTTTCTTAACGAATGTGATCGTATTTGTTGAATTCTTTCCATGGATTCGGTAGAAAAATCACCTATCATTTTATTTTTGAACCCGTTTGTTTTAGCCCTGGATGGAAATCAAACACTCGTTAATATATCTGATAAATGTTTGTATTTCTTTCGTTTCTGTTAATGACAAGCATTAAAATAATTTTATGTGCGTCGTAGGAAAAGAAGCCAAATCTTACTTGTAGGTAAATTTCAAAGATGCTTCAATTGGTTTTCAGAATAGACAAAACATTAACTACCATTTGGCTAAAAAGACGTAACAGATTCTCGAAAGATGAAGATTTTTTGTATATGATAGCCG